TTGTATAAATAATATATTAGTAAGGCTTGCTCTGAGCCTTTTCTTCTTGAGAATCCCCATTTATCTTGGCCTTCCCTTGCACAACAGATGCTCCAGTTGCTTTGGTCATTTTTGTGGTCTCTTGCTGTACTCATTCCAATATGTCCATGCTTTTCCAGTAACAGACAGACCAGAGCTGGACATAGTACTCCAGCTGTGGTTTTACCAGAGCTGCCCTAAATCTGTAATTGCCAAACTTTGAATTTTACTTCATCTGAAATTCTTCACGCTGTCTCATATTTCAATTGTTAGAGACAAAAAACAATAGCACCATTTTTCAGCAGTTCAAGTGTTTAGAAAACTTTACATTCTAAAACCAAACAAAACCAAATTTTATTCTAATCCTTTGAAGCAAAACATAAGCTAAGACAAACAAAACACACACTAAGAGTGGGTAAATGAGCTAGGTATCTACAGATCCTCTAAGCATAAGGAGGATTTAACAATACCACTAAATCAGAAAAATCAAATTCGCATTTCGCTAATCTGGTCAATTATACCAGTTATTGTCTAAAAATACTTAATAAAATAACAGAATGACATCTTTAATTGGAGCTTAATAAAGAATTCTTCTTAAAAGAGACGGAAAGAAACAACACAAAGCAAATACAAATTATAAGCTAGTCTAAAAATGGTCATGAGGTTGTCCTAGTTATAACATTTAGAAATACATATAGAAACACACAGAAATACTAGGGGGGTGGGTTGTGACCTTTGGCTTTTACAACTCATTTTTTCAAAACTGTACTATCATGGAAGGCTGTAAACTTAAATACGAGATATTCTTCACAGTTGTGTGTTCTTGGAGCTGAAGCTTTAAGAGAAGACAACCCAGGTATCCCAAAACTCATAAAGTTAGACACACTGGAAAGCTTAACAAGATATGGAAGAGTGAAAGAAAGGCCAAGATACAACAGGAGTACTTTTTAACTTACATTTGAGTGTTTCTCCAGCATAAGGGATATGTAGCTTAAACCGATCACAGCTGGGTCCAGGGGTCAGGGACGTACAGCTAAAAATGAAGACAAGAGAAGAATGTGCTAAGCAGTTACAGATGGCAGCAAACACGAACATTATTCTACAGGATACAAATGACTGATAGTAAAGATGCTGTGACTACTAAAAGTACTCATCCTTATGACTGGGGGAAAGTAGAAAAGGTGAGAAAGATGCAGGAGGCCCATCCTCTTTTGATCAACAGTTCTCACAATAGTATAAGAAATTTAAGGATCTGTGCCGTCTCCCATTTTATAACGAAAACATACAGGCAAAATGCTCTGGTTTGAGTGTGTTATTAGAATGGTATCAATTAGTTGAAGTCATCATGTTCTCTACTTTGTATACAATTTTGCAGGCCACAACTCTCTATGTCACAGTAACACAGTCACATGCTCTCTATCCCTGCCACCCATATAACTGGGATCAATCTTAATTTTAATACACCAACATTTACTCATTTTTCACCTATGATAACATTAAATTTTTCCCTTGAGGAAAGCATGACAGTACCCTTCAGGTAAGCAAGCTTCATAATCAGGTAGCTGAGGCTATATAACAATTGAGCATGTATGTTCATCATCTGTGACTGTTCATCATCTGTGACTCTCCAACTTATCTGGAGCACTGAAACAGCAGCTGGGCCTTATGGTGCTAAGAGAGCATTTTATGAACAGAAAAGTCACTGCAAAACTGTGTTTCTAGGCCAGAGATGACCAGCTTTTTCACACCTTTTAAATCATATACCTAAATATTTGCATGCAAAAAAAACCCAAACAAAAAGAAACTCTCAGCTGCAGTTGGAGAAGCAGGAACACAAATTGTTTCACTGGCAGGAATCATACCTGAAGCTTTCACCATTGTGGGCTGCTGTGCATATGACAGGTCCCAGGAGCAAAAATACTGGAAGCACTTAGAAATTAATTGTTTTATGTTTCTAGGGATCCTGCTAACTCTGAAATCTTCCTGCCAGCCCAGTATAATTGAGAATTTTTTATAGCCCCAGCACAATGGCTACGAGCCACTTAAAGCTCAAAGCCATACTGGCCGACACTAGAAAAAACAGTGAGTGATAAGAAGGTAGGCAAAGGTAAAATAACTTGACTAAAGTTATATATCAGATCACTGGTAGAGCTCTTAATACACACCACTGAAAATATAATGAAACAAAAACCACATGTACTGGGCCATACACATACCCTAAAAAATGAGATGGGTAGGTCAGAAAACAAAACAATTCTGATCCTACCTTTGGATCCCCCGTTATCAGAAACAACACGGTAACTGCTGCAGCTCTGTCTGACTGCACGGGAGGCATCAGGGCAAACGGAGCAATCCTAATTCTCACTCACTAACTCAAAATGGTTTGGAAAGGCATTTCTCCAGGATGCTGGCTCTACAGTCTCTTTTCCTCTTTCCACTTGCAACTTCAGGAAACCACATGCACTAACTTCAGATTGTTTTTACTCAGTGAGCTACATTCACTTTTTATTCAAATCTGTGCCCACGCGTGGCTTCACCAAAAAGAAGCAATCACAGAAGTACAGAACAATTAACTTAAATGAAGTTTCCATAAAAATACTAGAGAACATAAGCAAACCACTTATGTGCACCTAGAATCTAAGACAGATGCAATTAAGAGCCAGATGCAGTCAACAGCCTACACTGATTCAACAAGAATATACATTTTTTCAGTATCATTACAGAAATTATGTAACTGTCCTGTCAAATAAAAGGGAAGAAACACGTCCTATTTTCACTTTAGAAAGGTTTTTGCAATGTCTTATGAGAACACCACGCAAAACAATCTACAGAAACATAACTGAGATTCTATAACTACTATCAGATACTGCAGACTTGAATGGAAAGCAAGTTTCAAAACAGTTCACATCTTCCTTCATCCAGGAAGAATGCACTGACTTGGTTTTCTTTTGCTGGAATACTACTTTGCATTTTATTGAAAGACTGATGATGGAAAAGAAACAATGTTTATGAAACCTGTCAATGATACAAATGTGAAAGGGAATGCAGCATGCTGGACAACAGAGCTGAAAAAATGTTGTTATTTAATGGTTGTTTTTATTTCATGGTCTGTACTGATTATTTTTTAATTACATCTAGGTAGGGTTTAGCAAGAACAGTAAGCATCACCAGCCTCATTGGGAGTAAAATCAGTTTGAGAATATAAAAGATTGCATCCCTAGTGCAACAGAAACAAGAGAATGTAATTTTTTTCCAAGCTGTGTTTTTTTTAGTAGGTGAGAACAGCAAAATGGGAGTGCCCATTCTGAGGGTGTTTTAATGGTTGTGAATGAATTTAACAGCTATATAGATATTATTATCTACTTCCAAAGTATTTCTTCGGTTTACAACATATAAGGCCAATTCTAGGAAGCATACCAAAATCCCCCAAAAAAGTGCAGGATAAGAAAAAACCTTTCCAAGTTCTAAAATATCTCTGCAACAACAGTTAATATCTAATGAAATTTTCTTTCAAAGTATCACAGGTCACAGTCTGAGACACTTTTCTCAAATACTATCAAAATTACACTGTTGTCAGCTTTTCAACAGACACAAAAATTTCTGATCCTGCAAATACCCTACAATCTTTTCTTTTAGCACAGTGGGCCATTTGGAAATACTTAGAGAAAGTATAATATTCTTTAACATTAAAATAAAAGCCTGATTTAATGGTAAACGTCCCTAAAAGCAATACTAAGTACTTTTCCTATATTATTATATTGCACTAGAGATTTTTTTAATTTTACTGGTCTAGAAGTGATGGAAAGTGACAGTATTCACAGCCTTCCCCCCTCCCCCCCCCATATTGCTCTGGCTGAGTTGCACAAGAGACTTCAATAAATGCAACAGGCTCAGCAACCAAGCAGAAATTTTACACACATCCATTTAAAAGGAGGCAGCTTCTTTTTAGTTTTTACACTGTTTTAGTATAAACAGTAAAAGAACGAAACTCCTATGGAAAATCAAAACTTTGGTTCATGTAGCAGTCTATGTCTGCCCCTATTTCAACAGAAAGCCTGACTACGGACATAATCTCCTGCCTGAATTTCCTTAACAGAGAGAATCTCATAATTATACACATTTGACCCAGAAACATGACCTCTATCTTCTCCAGAGTGTAAGACTTTTGTCTTTTAGAAATGTGCTCCTTTTACTTAATCTGGTCCACACAAACATCACACTTGAAAAGGAATTACTTGTAACAAAGCCTTTAAAGTTATTTGTTATCCTCTCTTCTCAGGGAATGACGAAACAGTAATACTTGGTGTTGAAAATTACCTTCAGAAGCTGACTCCTTCTCATGATATATGGATGTCTTATCTCCCTCTTTAGTCGTGGAAAAATATTACACTGGTTTGCATCTCTTCATCTAAATAATCAATATTTTACACAGGAAAGCCATGGAAGCAAGAATTAATGTTCTCATGCTCAGATCAGTGATATGTTTTAGTCTTCATAAGATGATTAATGATATATCACAAGATCTCCCACAATGGTTTCCCTACTAAAATATCAAAGAATCATCAACTTGACAAATTTCTGGGATGAAGGAATATTCGTGATATTAAAATCACGCTGCCCTATCCAAAGGGACTGTGCTGAGACTCAGCTGGAAGATGGTAGATGGAATTGCATACACATGCAACCACAGCTGAATACAAACCTTCCTCTTTTGCAGTAGGTTTAAGCTAAGTTCCTTGAGCAAATACAGCAGATTGGGATTGTCTGTGACCTGTTGGGAAAAGGTTTCTTTCACAGTGAATAAAACTAAACCAGTTCTTATACAAAGAAAAAGTCACTGTCAGCACCAGACACTTACTTAAAAGTGTTCAGAATTCTTTACCACTCACAAAAGGAAACAGAAAAGATTATCCAAGAAAAAAAAAAAATCAGGAAAGCCACTCAGTTTTCCTGCTTGGAATAAAGCATCAGCCTATAATGATAGGTATAGTACAAGGTTTATTGGGTTTTTTTCAAAATTAATTCTGCCTGATTTAGAAATTAAGTTCTACCTGAGTTTAACAGCAAGGTTTTCTCTTACACCAATGTATTTGTGATTAAATATTTTGTTGAACTGACATTTCTTCTGTTTTGTTTAAGCTAAAAAAAACAAAGCCACTTTGATATTTTACAGGTCTGAAGCCATGATGATAAAGGAAGACCCTGATAACCTTAGATTTCAACATAGTCTTTCTATCAACTAGTCTTCTAAAACCACCACTTGAAAGCATTATCAAGACAAGCAGTTTTAAATCATTTGGGCTCTGGTAAGATGTTATCCAAAATTATGTTCTGTGCCAACTGAAGGGGTCACAAAGAAACAAGAGCACAAGTGTTTACCACCTTAATCCTAAAGTCAGGAGATGAGTGGTTATTCTACCCAAAGACTTTAAAAACTAAACAAACTCATCAACACCCCTCTCCAAATCCACCTCTTTATATCCCAAAATTCCAGTAAGAGGTTTGTTTTTGATACCACTCCTAAAATCCACTGCTTACAACCACATAAAAGTATAGCAAACATCCAAAAACGCCATCAGAGGTAGCTCTACTGAAAAACCAGCAATCTCCTTTTTATTTCTTCTTATTTTAATTTGTGATATAGGTATAAGCCCCAACAGTCACGTCAGATTTATTTGATGACTGTCAAATTCCCCAATTATAAAGTATGAAATGTGTTCAGTCATTCTTCTTTCACAGATCATAGAGAAGCTTTAGTGCCTTTACTATCTGAAGACAAATCATCAATGAACTTTACTGTACAAAAGCAAAGTAAAATTAGACTAAGAAATTTAGCCTCTATAATTTCAGGAACTTAATACTGAGACTGCCTAACCAGAACAGTCAGAGCTGCAAAAGCTTCTTTAATCTTACAGTGCTTAGGCTGCTATGCTTGCCATTCTGGAGGATCAGTACTTTTTTGGATAACAGACAACTTTTATTTGCTCACCAGGCTGCTGGTATAAGAGCCAAGAAAGCTTCACACTGAGTAAG